TACAGAGTCCAGGGAAGTACCGCATAGGTGTCTCCAGGAATTAGTATTTTAAAATCGCAGTCACAAAACAGCACTCCTTGGCTCAGAATGCTGCTCTAGCTCCAGTCACATTCAGAATCTAGACCACAGTCCTTCCCACTGCCTACAGGTCCTCCATAAACTGGCCTCGTCTCGTCTCTGCCCTCACTGCCTCACTAATTCCCTTCCAGCCACACTAGCCTCTTTCTGTCCTTCCAACACACTAGACAAATTCCTGTCTTAGGGGCTTTGTCCTTGTTGTTTTTTCTTGCCTGGGACAATTTCCCCTCTTATCTTCTCAAAGCTTTGCAAGTCTTTGCTCAAATGTCACCTCTTCAGAGAGGCCTCCCTGATCGTCCTATTGAAATCAACACTTCTGGCCTTCTCCATCTTCTATTTTTGTTTATTTCTTTATTCACAGCACATATCACTGCTTAACTTTTTTACACCTCCTTCCCTTCTTTTCTCCCTCCCCCTTTTCCTCTGCTTCTCTTCTTCCCTTTGTTCTTCTTTTTTTTATATATATATATATAATATTTTATTTTATTGTTATTCTATTATAGTTGTCCCAATTTTTCTCCCTTTGCCCTCCTCAGCTCAGTCCACCTCCATATTCTTCTTTCGGACTTTCTCAGTAGTCTCCATCATTAGGATGTAAGTGCTACATTCCCATTCTGCCTTGGTCCCTGCCTTATCCCCAAGGCCCAGACCTGGCATGGAGTAGGTGTTCAGTTAATCTCTGAATTAATATACAAATTTAATAAGCAAATACATGAGTTCCTCTTAAGGTCCACCTTAGCCCTGTCTGTCCTGGACATTTCCAGATTCCTTCACCTTCTGTGACCAATTCTACTTGTCTTACAAGCAGTATTCCTGGGGTGGGGTAGAAGACAGCCCAGACCTTCTCACTTCCCACCAGGTCAAAGGCCCTCATCATATCCAGCCCCATTTCCAAAGGAGCTTTTCCAGTTTCTGGGATGGATTCCCTGCCCCTGACACCCAGAATACTTTCTTATTTTTCTATCAGACTGATGTTAACGAGTTGCCTCTGATCCACCTCTAGTGGGTGACACTTCCTCAGCTTCTGACTCTCACAACTAAAGTCTTCGAAAAGCCCCTCCTTAGGTCCAACTCCAGCTGAGCCCCACCCTCTCTACCTTGTAGCCAGAGTAAGCTTTTAAACATATAAATCAGACCAACCACTCCTCTGCTTTTAAACAATCCCTCAAATGCTCTCCCCCAATCACACTTAGAGTGTAACCAAAGGCTTCACTGTGGCCTTTTAAGCCACTTTCAGATCTAGCCATTGCCAACCTCTCACCTCAACTCTGATCGCTCCGTAACTGCAGCTCCATGGGCTTCTTTTTGTTCCAAGCTGAGTCCTGTTCCAAACCCGGGCTCTGTACCTGCTTCTCTCTGTCTGGAACCTTCTTTCTTCAGCTGTCCTATGGCTGATTCCTCCTCATGCTCTGGGTCTCAGCCTAGATGCTACCTCATCAGTAAGAACCACCCAGACCTCTCTGTCTCAAGTTGCTGCCCACTGGCCAGTCTCTATTTTATTTATTTCTTTCATAGCACTTACTCCAATCTGAACTTATCTGATATATTGATCTGATCACTATTCAGTCTTTCGTCTCCTGAGAGAAGAGATCATGCCTGATTGCTCACCATTAAATCTCTATCACCCAACATTAGGCTTGTCATAGAATAGCAGCAGTAGATAAACATTGCTTGATGATTAGACACTTTCAGATTCTCCAAGAAGCCACGCTCTCAGCTCCACAACTGCCTTTCTCAGAGCCTTTACTTCTGCAGTTACCTCTCCTGGGATCCCTTTCCTTGACCCTTCCCTAATTAACTCCCAACTCATCCTTAGGTCTCCTTCAAATGTTACTGCCTCAGAGAAACCATGTCTTACCAAGCTCTTGCAGCATCCTGTTCCTGACAAGCACAATTCTCATCATGTCTTGTAATTATATATTTGTTATATTGTTATACTTATTTATGTGGTCGTTATTGAGGCCTGTGAGGCTCTCAGGCAAAGACTGGGTCTGTCTTGTTCCATGCTGTGCCACCAGCTCCTAGCACAGAGCCAGGCCCATCATAGTAGGCTTTCCAACAAATGTCTGTTGAATGACTAAATGATTGAATGATGTAACATGAGCCAAAAATTAGGCTTATTCCAAAACCATTCTCCAATGAATGAATAAATGAAGGGGGTGGGTGGTTGGAGTCCAAGGAAGGACTCAGCAGCTGAGACTCCTTGGGTCCACCTTCAAATACCCCAGAATCCTCCCACCATCACCACCAGCAGGGCTCAGCCCAACTTCCTTGGCCACCTAAAGCTCCGGACCAGATTCCAGGGTGGGAGGGTGGTTACCGTAGTCCTTGGGGAGGGGAGCAGGTGCAGAGGGGTGCACAACGGGCTTCTGCCGGCGCTCTTGGGTGGGGCTGGGGGCCTCGGGAACCGGCTCATCCTCCTCGTCCTCTTCTTCCTCCTCGTCTCGGAGTGGCGGGGCCATGGGGGTAGGATCGGTCTTAGTCATGGTTCTCAGTGGCCCTTGAAGGGGCGGCCTTTAGGCAAATTGTGGAGGCAAAGGTAAGCTAGACAGGGCACCCCACGGGCTCCGGTATCAGAGCCCACAGAGGCTCCCAGGGCCCCTGGCCCAGCTCTGGGTTTGGGGCAATCAAAAGGCCACCCGTTACCCATTAGAGGACTCTGGTGTGTAGGCCCAGCGCCTAAGACTTCCCTATAGGCCCAGCCCCCCATTCTCCTCTTCTCGCGTCAAGGCCCTTGGTCCAGGCCGCCCCCTCCCCGGGTTTGTTTATCTCTGGATGCAGGACGCTTCGCCCCTCCCCTTCTCTGCAGGCCTCCCCTCTATCCATCTTACCTTGGGCAGACAGGGCTGGAGACCAAAGCTGGGACTGGAGGGACTGGAGTAATGGGGTATGCGTTTCGGGGAAAGTGATGGGTAAGGAGGAGACAGAGAGAAGGGGACAAGGCGCAGACACCGATGGGGGAGATGGAGGTGGAGAGGGAGGGGCGCTAAATGCGCATGCGCGGTGTTACCCCCACTAGGCGCGGGGGAGGAGATGCTGGGAGGCTGCTTGCCATGATGAACAGACTAGAGGAATTGGCGGAGAAAGGGTCAGACACGGAGGATGGGGCGGGGGCGGGGAGGAAGAAGTGGACACGAAGGATATGAGACGGAGACAGACAGATGAAGTGCAGACAAGGATAAAAAAGACAGGAATGGGAAAGCAGGCACAGTGCCTTTTGAGCCCCCCCACCCCCACCCCCATGATAGAGCCTTCCTGTAAGCCTGCAAACCAGGCCATTTCGGGCAAGGGGTCTCATTGTTGGTGGAGATGGGTATTTTCTCTTGGTGAGATCTCAAACCTGACTCCTCCTCCATGCTCGTGCTATATAAGGCGTGTCTTAGAGATATGATTGCTATCATCATCGTTGTCATTCTCATCACATAGTGCTCACACAGCACTTACCAGACCCAGAGAGGTTAAGCCACTTGCCCAAGGGCACACAGCAAGTAGATGGTGGAGCAAAGACTTGAAACCATGCAGCCTGCGCCTTTAATCACCATGCTACATGACTGTAGCAGTCTAGAGGACTCAGAACCTGTATCTTTGCCAGGAAAACCTCCTGGAGTCAGCCCAGGGCCCAGGCTTTCATCATCCTGGTTTGGCTGTCACACCTGCCTGACTGTGGCCTGCACTGCCCACAATAGTCCCAGCTCGAACAGGGCTGGGTAACTTTGTCTTCTACCCCTCATCCTTTCATGGGTAGGGCCAATCGTTCCATCTCCAAAATATTTCCAGAACTGTATCCCTCACCCCCCACCCCAGGGCCCTCATCTGGGTCCATCCTTCATCTTCTCTTACCTGCAACATGGCAGCAGCCTTTCCCTGTTCCTCCTGCTCCTCTCCTCTGCCAGCCCCTCCCCACCCCACCCCTACCCCTGCCCAGCAAAAGCTTGCACCCTGTATGCAACCAGATGGACCTTGCATGTATCACACCAGGGCTCTCCTCTTCTCAGAGGCACCTACTTGCTGACCTCACTCCAGGTACAAGCCAGTGTTCTCAACCACAGCCCACAGGCCCTATGTTGACCCTCCCCTGTCATCTCTCCAATCTCATCTCCTCTCACTCTCCCCCTTATTCACCCCACTCAAACCACACCAGCCTTGCTCCTCCCCACCCAGGGCTTTTACACTGGTTTTTCCTTCTGCCTGGAATGCTCCCCGAGCCCCAGATACTTGGTTCCCTCAATCCCCTCTTTTAGGATTTTACTATTGGTGCCTTCTCTGCAATAAAATTGCACACATACCTCACCACATCCACACCGTTCCCTCCATTCTTTAGTTTTCACAATAGCAACACTGTCTTCCTTCAGCTAATACCTTAGATGTTGGACATTTGCAGGGGCTCTTCTCCCTGGAGAAGCCCACATACCTTCCTGGCTGGCTCCTTCTTATCATCCAAGTCTCTACTCAAATGTTGTCTCCTTAGAGAATCCTGTCTCCAACACCACCACCCCCATTCCATTCAGTCTTTATGCACTTATCATAATCTAAAATTACCTTGTTTATTAGATTACTAGTTCATCTTCTACTAAAGTAGAATGTAAGTACCATAAGGGCAGGATTTTGTCTGCTGTGTTCCCAGCTCAGCAAACAGACTTGGCACTTGAGGGGCTCTTCAGAAGCAGATACATTTGTCTCCAAACAAAACAACCCTTGTTCTGATTTGAGGTTGTTTTACTGACAGATTTGAGCTGAAGGGGGGCAGGCACCTGATAGCCAACAAAATCAGGGCTGATTGGGGTCTTGGGTCCAGCTTGGCCCTAAGGTTTAAGAGGACCCTAGGAGGGTGGGAGCTAGACCCTTGAGGGAGGCACTGCTATGTCCAAGGATGGGTGGTGGGGATGGACGAAGGCCTTATGTGATCAGTTTCTTCCTCTGTATTCTGCCATCTGTCCTGGTCCTTATGCACTGGGGATCTGAGTGTCCAGGAGCTCAGGCTTGGCATGCAGTGTGGGCAGTATAGGACCTTGGGCAAGGACCACAGTTATGTCAGGCTCTCCACAGATGATGGTGGAGGCCTGGGTTCCTTAGGTCCTGAGAAAAGAAGTGGTAGAGATGGAGAACATAGGGGAGTGAGGGGAAGGAAGGAAAAAGGAGGGGGGAGAAATGATGAGGAACAGGGAGGCACAGGTGGGAGGTGGGTGTCAGGAAAAAGGGAGTGATGTAGGCAGAGAGAGATATGGGGAAACAGGGAAGCAGATATGAGAGCCAGAGAGAGATTCATGGGGAATAAAGAAGTATGGGAAAATGGGGAAACAGATGTGGGGTGACAGAGACATGGAGAAATAGATATGGGGAATAGGATAAATGTAGGGGCAGAGAGACAGGGATATAAATATGGGAGACACAGCCCTGGCTGGTGTGGCTCAGTGGACTGAGTGCTGACCTGAGCACCAAAAAGTAACTGGTTGAATTCCCAGTCAAGGCACATGCCTGGATTGCAGGCTAGGTCCCCAGTTAGGGGCATGCAAGAAGCAACCGATGGATGTTTCTCCCCCTCTCTGTATCCCTCCCTTCCCCTCTCTCTAAAAATAAATAAATGGAATTTTTTAAAATAAAAAATAGATAAATAAATAAATAAGACACAGAAATATGCAGATAAAGAGAGACATGGGGAAATGGAGAGAGATATGGGAGGAGAGAGCAACTGGAGAGCAGATAAACAGAGATGACTATGGAAAAAAGAGGAGGAGACTGAGAGACAGGGATCGAGTCGGGACAGGGGAGGCAGAGAAAAAACATAAGTTCAGAGGCCCTGGAAGGCTTCATGAAGAGCCTCAGACCAGAATCTGAGTTCTTTCCTTGCCCCACTGAATGTCCCTTTTGTGCCCCATCATGATTCAGGCCAGTCTCAAGCATAATGCTTCCAGCGGTGGCCACATTGCAGCTCCAGCTGACTGCTACTAACTGGGAATATGAACCCAGTGCTGCTAGATCTGCTGAGCCTTTGGGAAAGATTGGAAATTATTTTAAAGCACTGTAAAATCAAACAAACAACGTCTGTGGGTCATGTCCAACCCACTGGCTGTCAAGCTGAGAGACACCTTAGCTCAGAGATACCATGGCAGTTCCTTTCTGAAACCCCTCCCACCTTTCTTGCCAGGGAAGGCCAGAGCCCCGGGACCTCAAGCTTGGCCTTGGGGTTTTAAGCAGAGAAAAGACCTGGTCAAGCTTTGATTTTTTAAAGACATGATACCCTTCTCCCCCTCCCAAAGCATACTCAATAGTAAAATAGAGTGGCGAAAGGGCATTAGATAAGGTTTAGTGGACTATAGTAGAGGGGTCACAAACTCAAGCTCTGTAGGGGCCAGACAGAGACACCCCAACAGGAGCTCACAGGTCTCCTCTGGAGCGAGACACCTGGTTTGAATCCTGGCTCTGTAAGTTACTGGCTGTCTGACTATGGACAAATTACTGTGTCATTCTGTGCCTCACTTTTTTCATCAGGAAATGGGGACATGTATAAAAATCATAGTGACCCAGGCTGGTATGGCTCAGTGGATTGAGGGCTGGCCTGTGAACAAAAGGGCTGTTGGTTCAATTCCCAGTCAGGACACATGCCTGAGTTGCAGGCCAGGTCCCCATTAGGGGACATGTGAGTGGCAACCATACATTGATGTTTCTCTCCCTTTCTCCTTCCCTTCCCCTCTCTCTAAAAATAAATAATAAGACACATTTTAAAAAGCTTAGTTTAAAAAAAATCATAGTTTTCAGTAAGTTATTAAATCTGGCAGAGAGTAAGGGCTTACATATTAATAAATGGACCAGCCACTACTTTGCCAGACTGATTTTTTTTCCAAGAAAAGCCAAAAATTTGGAAACATGGGTAGAATGTTCTGATTTTTAAATATTGGGCTCTAGCTTAAACAAAAATACATGCTGAGTGGATCAGGCAGGTCCCACTCACTCTTCGCAGCAAGCGTTCCTTGTGCAGCTGTGCCTGTTGCCTGGTTGTGCTCTTGACACTGCTGCACCCTCTGCAGCCTCTGAAGCAGTGCTCCCAGTGCCGGGCCCAGTTCAGCCTGCGGGTACTGGGAGGGGACTTAAGGGTGAAGCCAGCAAAATACTGTGGGCAGAGGGGGTGGTCAGGAACAGGGTGGCTGCAGCCCCAGCATCTGTCTCCTGATGCTGGCCCCAGCACACCAGGTGTTCAGGGCCACGTGCCAGGATGTCTGGGCCAGGAGACAGGGGTGTGGCCTCCTATGGAGGCACAACTGGCTTCTAGTTGCTTTGGGGACTACACTGTCTCTGGGAGACAAGGCATAGGAGGGAGTACATCTCTGTGGGGCTCCAGAGGGGCTTTCCTCAGGAGGGGATATGGGTTGGGGGGTCTGGCTCTAAGGGGGACTTACCTGAGGTAAGTCCAGACCTTAGGGAAGAACTTCTCTCAGGAGTGAGGGCTGAGAATAAGGCTCCAGGAGGTATTTCCCTAAAGACAAGACTCCACAGGTTACTTCTCAAGCAGGGAAGGCAGGTGTAGGGGGTAGGGAGGGTTAGCCTCCAGCAGTGGGACCACCCTGTGCTCACATTGGCAGATGTGCCCAGAGAAGATGGAGGGCAGAGAATCTGGCTGCAGGTAGCACACACCCCAGTGCCACTGGATGGAGGAAGGTATGAAGTACTCGCTGCACAGGAGCTGATGACCTATGTATTGCAGCCAGGACTGCAGCAGGAGGCCGTCCTTCACCGGGAACCTGCCAGGTAGTAGGGTCAGTGATACCAGGTCCAACCACACCCCTCCCTGTGAACATTCACGCCCAGAGGTCCTTGGACTCCAAACCCCTGCACCTAGGCCACCAAACTCTCTTTGCCTCCTTACCTGTATTGCACTTTTCCACTCCACCTTTTAAATTCCCAGCATCAACCTGCCTATTCCACCTCCACTACTCCTCCTATCTAGTCTCCATTCTCTAGAGCTGGATTTTTGCCTCCTTCCTGGTTTCCTGCCCACTTCATGGGGCAAGCAAGAGCAGGGGTAGGGGGTGTGGTGTGGTTATAGATTAAAAGAGATTTAGAAAACATCAACCCAAATGCAGGATCTGGACCTTGCCCTGCAACAGATCACTCTGTAAAGAGACATTTTAAAAATGATTTTATTTATTTACTTTTAGAGAGACAGTAAGGGAGGGAGAAAGAGATGGAGAGAAACATCAATGTGTGAGAGATACATTGATCTGTTGCCTCTCAGAGGCCCCAACTGGGGACCTGGCCCCGCAACCCAGTCATGTGCCCTGACAGGGAATGGAACCAGCGACCTCTCAGTTTGCAGGCCGGCACTCAAGCCACTGAGTCACATCAGCCAGTGCAAGAAGACATTTTAACATAGTTGGGGGTAACTGAATGTGAATTGAATATAAGATAATTGAAAGAAATTTTTCTAGGTGTGATAACTGTATTGATTTGTGCTTTTAAAATAGTCAACTGTTAAATATTTATGGGTAAAAGACTTAATGACTGGAATTTACTTTAAAATACTGCATTAAAGGTGTATGTGGGAGGAGTGTGGATTGAAAAAGATTGGCAAAATGTTGACAACTGGTACATGAGGATTCATTTATACAACTCCATTTTTTGTGTATGCTTGAAAACACCTGTTAAAGAGTTTTTAGACAACAACAAAAAATAACCTGATTAAACAGTGGGCAAAGAACTTGAATAAACAGTTCTCTAAAAAAGATATACAAATGGCCAACTAGCATATGAAAAGACACTCAACATCACTAATTATTAGGAACATGCCAATAAAAACCACAAGATATCACCTCATAACCATTGGAATAGCTACTATTAAAAAAAAAGAATAAAATGATAAGTGTTTGCAAGGATGTGCAGAAACTGGAACCTTATACACTGTTGTAGGAATGTAAAATGGAACAACCTCTATGAAATAGTATGGCAGTTCTTCAGAAAATTAAAACTACAATTACCATATGATCCAACAATTCCATTTCTTGATATAGACCCAAAAGAATTAAAAGCAGGTGCTCATAGAGATATTTGCACACTCATGTTTGTAGCAGTGTTATTTGCAATAGCCAAAATGTAGAAGAAACCCAAGTACCCATCAACATGTGTATGGATTAGCAAAATGTGGTAATACATTCAATTAAATATTATTCAGCTTTAAAAAGGAAGAAAATTGACATGCTATAACATGAATTAACATTGAGGACATTATGGTAAGTGAAATTAGCCAGCCACACACACAAAAATAGACACTGTGTGATTCCACTTACATCAGGTATCTAGAGTTGTCAGATTCATGGAAGCAAAAATAAAAATGGTTTGTGGCCAGGGACTGGGGAGAAGCAGAAACTGAGAGATGTTTAATGGGGTACAGAGTTTCAATTTCCCCAGATAAAGTTCAGGAGATTGGTTGTATGACAATTCAAATATACTTACTACTACTGAACTGTCCACTTAAAAATGATTAAGATGGTAAGACTTTATGGTACATGTATTTTACCACAATTAAAAATTAAAATTTAAAAAAATTTTAAAAAATTAACTAAATAAAAGCTTTTCCAGTGGGAGAGTGGGGATTATCTGATAAGGCACTCTCTAGAGGTGCTCCCACTACTTCTGTGTCCTGGTGCCACTTGTCCCCAACATCTGTAAAGCAATACACTCTCTATTTAGACCTGGGCTCAAGACTGTTCACAATAAAGACCTCATTTTCCAGCTTCGCTTGAAGTCAGGGGTGGCCACATGATTATGTTCTGGCCACTTTGTCCTGTAGCTGCAGTCAGAAACTGTGAGATATTAAACACTTACATCAAGCTGTTAAATTTTGGGTTAGTTTATTTAACTATTTAACTCAGTAGCGTAACTACTACAATCAGTCATCCACATCCCACCTTCACAATGTCTTCCATATCTGTGACATTATTTACTTAATATTTTTCTTAAAATTCACCAACTATAAATGTTAATCAAAGGTACCTTTAATTAACTTTACACCAACTTGCAAATGGAAAACCAGTATCAACTTCATAAATAGAAGTGAACCATAAAAATGCTGTATACTTTACTTGCTGAGGTGTATGAGGCCTGCTCTCTGTTAAAAAGGAAGAGTAAGGAGCCCTGGCCAGGTGTCTCAATAGGCTGCAGCATTGTTAACATACACCAAAAGGTTGTGGGTTCGATCCCAGTCAGCACACACACCTAGGTTGCGGTTTCAATCCCGTGTCGGGCTGCCTATGGGAGGTAACTGATCAATGTTTCTCTCTCTCTCTCTCTCTGCCCCTCCATCTCTAAAGTCAATAAATATATTCTTGAGTAAGGATTGAAAAAAAAAGGAAGAGTAAAGAATGTTAGAGAGCGGGGAACAATACCATCTATAGGAGACAGGGTAAATAAAAAAAATTCAGCCACATGTACACAAAAGAATATTATGCAGCTCTAAAACAGACTTTGGGGACACTCTAGGAACTGACACACAATTACCAGGCATATAATATATGAATAAAGCAAGGTTCCAAATAGAGTATGTCAGCTTTTAGTTATTGTGGTAAGCTGAACAATGGTCTCCAAAAGGTGTCTATGTCCCTGGAACCTATGAATATTACATTTCATGACAAAAGGTGTGATGAAGTTAAGGATTTTGAGATGGGATAATTATCCCAGATCATCCAGGTTGGCCTTAAATGCAATACCATAGACAAAAAAGGATAAGGTGATACAACCATGGAGACAGAGATTGGAGTAATGTGGCCACAAGCCAAAGAATGCCTGAGGACACCAGGAACTGGAAGGAATAAGAAACAGATTCTTCCTTAGAGCTTCCCAGGGAATGTGGCACTTCCAACACTTTGATTTTGGCTCAGTAAAACTGATATGGACTGTGAGAGAATAATTCCTGTTGTCTTAAGCCACCAAGTTTGTTATAGCAGTCACAGGAAACTAGTACAGTAATAAGGGGGGAAATATGAACATATACTCACATTTGCTTGTATTTGCATAAAGAAACACCAGGAAGAACATATAAAAAACTAAAGATGCCACCAATGGGGAGGAAGTGGATGGGATGAACAGAGGTAGGGATGGGAACAAGACTTCTCAGGCAAAAAAAAAGGCAGACAGAGAGGGGAAGGGGGTGGGGAGGCAGCTGCTGAAAGAGAACAGAAAGGCTGACTTAGAGAAGAGCTGTGGCACCCAAAGACCAGAACCCTAGGGTCCACAGCCAGGAATTCTGGCTTCTGCAGTCTCTTCAACCTTGGTCTGGGATCCAAATGCTCTCTCCAGCCTCCTTCTGGACACACATAGGAAATCCAGTGGAGCAACACTTCCCAACCCCTATGCTGGGGCCAACACTACTCCATTGCTGACTCTTTTGTTTCTTACGAACAAAACTCCAACTTTATTTGAGGCCATAATATGCCATGCTAACACTGTTTCCAGCATTCCTTTACAGCTAGGTGTGATGACATAACTAAGTTCTGGCCAATGAATACTTTCGAGTTGTGTGAGACATCTGGAATGGTACCTTAAATGTGAAGGGGTTCTCAAGTGGAATCAGAGCATCTTGAGGGGCCAAAGAGGATAGTGAATATCATTTTTTTTTAAAAAAAAAAAAAAAACCTCTTCCCAATTTCATCTTGTTCTCATTTTCTTTGGTTCCTCTAAATGGCAACATTTGTGATGGACAATATCCCTCTCTAAAAATCTACTTTATTTTTAAAAAATATTTTATTTATTTACTTTTAGAGATGAGAAGGGATGGAGAAAGAGAAACATCAGTGTGTGAGAGATACATGGACTGATCAGTTGCCCCCCACATGCCCCCAGCTGGGGACCTGGCCTGCAACCCAGGCATGTGCCCTGATTGGGAATCAAATCAGTGACCTTTCAGTTTGCAGGCCAGAGCTCAATCCACTGAACCACACCAGCCAGGGCTAAAAACCTACTTTAAATGAACAGCCAGTGTCCTCCTTTTTTATAGAATATTTTAGTCTTGTTGGTCTTCTTATCTAGAGCACAGAGTAGCATACTTTGCTAGAAACTCTTCTTTTCTTCTTTACTAACTCTAAATTTCTTCAGGGCTGTTAAATGCCCAGCTAAAAGACTACATTTCCCAGCCTCCTTTGCAGGTGGGGGCGACCAGTGATAAAGAACCCAATATTGAGGGAGGTTTCTGAGAAGACTTAATAAAGAGGGCTGCCTCAATTTAGAGTTGGGTGCTTTGTGCTCTTCCTCCTTTCCTTTTCTTCCTGCTGGGAATGGTAGGGCGTAATGGCTGGGCACTGACAGCCATCTTGGATGAAGCTGTATGCTAAGAATTACACAGCAGAAAGATAGGCCCCTCATCCCTGTCGGTTGTGGAAGTCTCCACATCAGTGCTGGTCAGCCAACCTCTGTACTTGTTTTATATGAGAAATAAAAACTCTGAGGCAGACTGTATTATTGTTCAAAATATTTGCTGCCCTTCCCTACATGAAAATTACACATCTCTACTATGTTCACCTGAGGCTTGCCATAGACTTGTTTTGGCCAAAGCAGTAAAGTGACATGGACCGCTTCTAAATATAAAATTTAGCAGAAACTATTGGATGATTCTCCCCACTATCTCTTTTCCCCCTCCCACAAGACCAGCAATATTCCTTACAGGGGCTATTCCTTCATCCTGAGTCCTCAATTAAAATAGAGTAGGGGCCACAAATGACCTGCAAAGGGCATAATGTGAGCAAGAAATGAACCTTTCTTGTAGTAAGGCACTGAGACTTTGAATTTGTTGCTGCAACATAACCATAATGCTTCCTATATACCCCATAATTTGTTTAAGCCATTATTCTCTCAAGACTTTGTTACTGCCAACTAGATGAATTTCCTAACTGATCCCCTACCCCATTAGAGATGACTGCCATTTGTTCCTGAAGGTGCCTAAAACAGAACTAATGTTTTCTTTGGCTGCTGGGCAGGCTTTTAAGTTATTCCCTGGTAGCCACTTCCCTGGATATGTTTCACCTTGTTCCTATCTGACATCCATGCCCTCTCCTGAATCTGCTTTAGAAACTGCCCTTCACCCACCCTGCTCCTCACCCAACTCTTAGCTAAGTGGCTTCTGCAAGACTGACTCAGCAGTGGGCCCTGAGGTGGAAATGGACTAGTCTGTGAGAGGAACAGTTTGGCAGCCACTAGTGGGACTTAAACAACACAGACAGAACCTGATTTTAATAGTCACCTGGCTGCTAGATACAGTTGTCATTGTTCTCATTATTATATGTGAGACACTTGGAACAACGCCTGGCATACAGTAAGTTATTTTTGTTACTGTAAGGGAGGCAAGAGTGGAAGCAGGGAGACCAGCAAGCAGCTACCACAATGTCTCGGTAAGAGATGATGGCATGGCCCCAGCTGGGTAGCTTGGTTGGTTGGCATGTTGTCTTGATGTGCCAAAGCTGTGGGTTTGATCCCAGGTCAGGGCATATACAAGGAGCGGCTAATGAACCCATAAATAAATGGAACAGCATGTGGATGTTTCTTTCTCTCTCTGAGAGGTGATGGCAGGCTGGACTATACTGTGACAGAAGTGGTCAGACTGGGAATGTGGGTTCTAAAAAATTTCCTGCTAGTTTAGTTAGGATTTTTCTATTTGCATTTATAACAAAATTGCCATCATGTTAGAGGTTTTGTTGTGACTGTTGCAGGATGGGAAGGTGTCTGGGAGGTAGAGTCAAAGGATGGGTTAATAAACTAGACTGGGCGCAATGGTATTAAAGAAAAGATTATGGATGATGCCTAGCTTGTGTATTTAGTTCTTCAGTTTTTTAAAAAAGACTTTAGTTATTTTTAAAGAGGGGAAGGAAGGGAGAAAGAGAGGGAGAGAAACATCAATGTGTGGTTGCTTCTTGTGTGCCCCACACCTGGACCGGCCTGCAACCCTGGCAGCTGCCCTAGACTGGGAATCCAACCGGCGACCCCCTGGTTCGCAGACCAGCACTCAATCCACTGAGCCACACCAGCCAGGGTTAGTTCTTCAATTTTGACCCCTTGCTTATCTATGAGCTCATCAGGTCAGGAACAAGATCTGTCAGAGTCCTTTGTGTCCAGCCGGGTGAAATGCTGAGAATAACGTTTCTTGACTCTGCTAAGCCCTTCCAGAGACTGCAAGCTGGACCAGGTGCAGACTAAGGTATTTATATTCGGGCCCCGCCCCCTGCAAGCCCCATCCCACTATTGTGAGCCCCTGTAGAACCTCAATGGGCGGCTGTCGGCTCCCAGTAGGCCGGCAGTGTTGGAGCAGTTCGGGGCCTAGCAGTACTTGTGCAGAGCTGTCCAGCCCCGTTGAGTTTTTCCCAGTCTGCAGCCGGAGGTTTGGTGGTCTCCGGGAGCCGCCGAACCCCGCCCAAGCCGTGCTCAGTACTCCAGTCTTACGGGAGAGGCCGGAGCGCCTCGTCACTTGCCTCGGTAGGGCAGAGAGCATCAGTGTACTACCTGTCCTGCCGGGTTACTACAGCTACGCCCTACTTACAGAGGAAAAGCAGTACATCTCTGCTCTTAGTTACTAGGACCTTATCACAGGTTCGGGCAGAGGTGGAGTCACGGCGTTCCTGAGCCCACGTGAACTCGTCAGTCCGTTTAGGCTCCACCCTAGGTTACATCCGGGAGACTGCCCCGGCGTGGCTAGTTGCCCTGGTGCAGCAGCAAAAAGCGAGATGAGGCGGCTTAGGTCTTAGCCACGTAAAAGTTAAAACCAGTATGTTTCAGTGAATGATAAAAACGCAAACTGGATATAAACCGCCAACATTTCTTGAACGTAGCTGTGGTCCTACCCCGCCAAACACTCCGTTCCGCCTCTTAACCCTCATTGGTCAAAAGCGCCGCCCCGCAGCCCTGAAATTGGCCAGACCAGGAGCTACCGCATCCAATGGTTGGCGGCGCCAACTTTCCCGCGGCTGTTCGTTATTAGGTACCTTGGTGGCGGCAGAGGCGGTTGAGGAGTGTAACGGTCACCCGGCTTCAGTGCGACCATGGCGGCCTTGGCGCCTGGAGGCTGTGCGCGGAACGATGCAGTCGAGAAGCTGCCATCTGTCATGGAGGGAATTCCAGCGCGGAGGAGCCAGTTCTCTCCGCCCCCTGCTTCAGCCCCCTGCCTCCGTCGACGGACGCGACTCCCGGCAGCGCCCGAGGACACAGTGCAGAACCGGGTGAGGAGCTGTCTATCCTACCATCTCCTGGTCCTTTCTTGGATCTCTGGCCCCGCTCATCAGTTCCCGGCTTTCGTCTCTGTGGCCTGGTTGTGCCCCTAAGCCCCGCCCCTTTAGTCAAGACTCCCCCGCCTTTCCCGTCTCCTCTTCTCTCAGGTACTGCCCGTCAATCCTAGCCCCTCCTCTCAAACCCGGGCCCCACCCTCAGTCCTCGGAGTATTCCTGGGTTCCGCTCTGGTTCCTCTTTCCTGCAGGTATACTTCTTCAGTCTATAAACGTCTCTCTGGGCCCTTCCATTTTTACTGACCTCGCCCCGGCAATACCTTTAGGGTCCCGAGTTTTACCTGCCCTAACTCTCCCTCAGCTCTTCCCTGCCTTCCCTTTCCTTCTCCTTTACCAAGGTGGGATTCTTATTCCTTAACGCCAACCCGCATTATGGAGAGGAGGTGCGTAATTGTAAAATCTCTGCAGCTCTGCGTAGGAGGAGAGTTTACAGAAGTCCTGAGAAACAGACACAAAGGAGATTATTTTAGAGTAAGTGGAGGGAATTCGATTAGCCCAGCAGCAATTAAAAAAGTTGTTCTCCAACACCCTGAGCCACAAAGTATGCTTTTATAAAAGGGAGATAACAATAACCATACCATGGAGTTGCAGTGAGATGAAAGGAAATTGTGAGTATGACCTGCTTGACACAGAGTCCGATAAAGGATGGATACATGGTAGCTGCTTGTGGATTCCTTCTGCACTCTGATTTTATCACCCACTCCTGGCTGGGAGGCCCTGGGCAAGTGGCCCCTGCCCACCTCTCTGGTGTACCTCCCTCATTCACCGTCTGAAAAAGGTAATCCTCTTGAGGATTAAAGAAACATTTTTTTTAAAAAGGTTGCATCTCACTGTCCTGCTATCTATTTTCCTGAAGCACCAAGCTCTTTCCCTCTTCCTAGCTTTTACATTTGGTGAGTCCTTTGTGCTGTTTTCCTCAGTCTACTTGGCTAGCTCCTCATCCCTCAAGTCTTAGCCTGATTATTTCTAACATAGAGGCCTTGAATTCCAGCCTCAAGCAAACACCCACCCAGCTCCCTATACTTCATAGCTTTTTATCTTGAATGTTTCTGATAGTGTCTAGTCAGCTCTAAACTTTCTATAACATAGATGACTAACAATGGCAATTTCAGAGAGGCAGTATAGCAAGATGGGTAAAGAGCACAGCCTCTGGACTCAGACTGCCTGGGCATAAACCTTAAACTATTCTTCCTGTTAGTGAACTTTTCTCTACTTCAATTTTCTCATCTGTAAAATGAGGATAATAGTATAAATATTCCCTTATATAGTATTTGTGAGAATTAAGTGAGCTCACATATCTTAAGCACTTAGAACAATACCTGGTACATTGCAAATACTTTTATTAGTAACATAATTGTACTATTATGATTGTGTGTTTTGGGTAATTGATGTCATTTACTTATTTTCCTTGTTTGGTGGTACAGAGTCCACCTGGCTTGCAAAAGACCTAGTCTAGAAATGATCAGTTATACTAACGCCCAATAGTGCTGACTGGCAGATGAAAAAACGTGAGCGCCATTGCCTGGTTGCTTGGGTTAAAGTCCTGGCAGTGCTCCTTGTTGGATGGGAAACCCTCTGGGCCTCTGTTCCTCATCTGGACACAGTGCAGAACCGGGTGAGGAGCTGTCTCTCCTACCCTCTGCAGGTCAGGATGAAGATGATGTGGAGTGACCAAAGCACAGGGTTATTATTAAAAAGATCAATACAGTCATAGGTGTTTGAACAATGCCTGGCTCCAGGTTAATGCTCAATAAATGTTAGCTATTATTGTCCCATATTTGCCCTGCATTTCTGAGGCCAGGGACTTGCTTGAGAATGTTTTACCTTATAATAATTAGAAACTAGCCCGGCTGGACTGGCTCATTTGGTTGGGCATCAACCCGCAAACCCGAAGGTTGTGGATTCCATTCCAGGTCAGGGCACATGCCTAGGTTGCAGGTTTGGTCTCCAGTTGGGGGGTGTGTACGGAAGGTAGCAGATCAATGTTTTTCATCCATATCAATGTTTCTCTCCCTCTCTTTCTCCCTTTGCCTCCCTCTAAAATAAAAAGTTAAAACAAAAAAGTTAATAATTAGAAACTGGTCTATTCAAAATATGAAGATACTGCAATTCTGAGCCCATACTCTAAATTGTTTGATCAACCATGATGGGGACTGGTCCATTTAACTTACTTTGCATAGAAAGTTTTTAAATTTAAATGTGTTTCTTCACTTGTTTATTTACTTGTTGAACCACTAGACTACAAATTTGATGAGGGAATGGGGAGTGTCCACTTTTGCTCACTGCTCTGTCTCCTCCCCTGCAGGGCCCAAAGTGTTGGTTTTGGAGCCAGACTACCTGGGTTTGTATCCCCACCTTGCCACTCTGCTGGTGTGGGACCTTGGACCACAATGTCCTCATTTGTAAAAGGGGGCTGATAACAGTGCCTTTTTCTTTGGGTCGATATGGGGCTTCAAGAATTTCATCCACACAAAATACTTGGAAATTTATTCAAAGGTCACCTTCTCAGTGAGGCCTTCTCCCCTCCCCCTGTGCTTCTAATTTCCTTCCTTGCTTTGCCTGCCTGCCTTCCTTCCTTCCTTCCTTCCTTCCTTCCTTCCTTCCTTCCTTCCTTTCTCCCTTCCTTCCTTTCTCCCTTCCTTCCTTTCTCCCTTCCTTCCTTCCTTCCTTCCTTCCTTCCTTCCTTCCTTCCTTCCTTCCTCCCTTCCTTCCTTCTTTCCCTCCCTCCTTTCTTCCTTCCTTCCTCTTTCTTTCTTTCAAAATTCCCACCCGAGGATATGTTTATTGATTTTAGAGAGAGGAAAGGAAAGAGAGAGAGAGAGAGAGAGCACCATTGATGTGAGAGAGAAGCATCGATTGGTTGCCCACCATATGTGCTCCAACTGGAGATCCAGCCTGCAAACTTTTGGTGTACAGGATGATGCTCCAACCAACTGAGCCACCCTCCAGGGCTGCTTTGTTTTTCTTTATTGCTCTTATCATCACCTGGTATCTATTTTGCATATTTTTTCTGTTTACTTTCTTGGAATGTTCTCCATTCTATCACCACCAGAATGTGAGGTCCAGAAGGGAAGAAATTTTTTGTCCGTTTCCCTTGCCACTCTATGTCCTTCACCTGACACAGTATATTTGTCAAAGGTCTGTTGGAGAAAACAAGGGTTAGCTGATGGTAGATGACTATAGAAGCTCGGTGAGTATGTTCAATATAACAGAAACAGAATGAGTGGCTGAGGTGGCTATGCCACAGAGGGCCTGCTGGGGCAGGTGCTTTTAAACTTGGATCTTTTCCCTGCAGGTGTCACTGGAGAAGGTGCTTGGCATCACAGCCCAGAACAGCAATGGCCTAACCTGTGATCCCAGCACAGGCCATGTGGCCTACCTAGCAGGGTGAGTGAGTGGATGGGCCTCAGCTTTTCTATCTGCAGAATTCAGATAATGCTGCCTATCTCTGAGGGCTGTGGAGAGAATTCCATGGCATTGTGAAAACCTTATTGTGACTACAGGTGGGAGGTGGCAGCAATTATGGGAAGGACAGCCTGGATTTGTGTCCCACTTCTACCATATGACCCTCTCTGAGACTCTTCTTCTATGTCTATACAACAGAAATAGTGATACCCTTCTCTTAGATAGCTGAAAATACTGAAGGACATTCTGCAGCTGTTTATTCCAAAAATACTATGTAGCTGTTTGGGGTGCCAAAGGGAAACCCCCAACCCCTGCAGGGCAGGGCAGACCCATAGTCATTTCTGATGAACAGTCTCTGTTACTGAGTCTCAGGGAAGTAAGCACAGGTATAGATTCCCATCCCCACTCTGTCCCAGACCTACAGGGTAGCCATAGGCAAAGGGCTTCCCCTCTCTGGGCTTCAGTTTCCTTCTCTATAAAATGGGACTAAGATTCCTAACCTTACCTGGCAGTTGTAAGGATTTAAAGAGATCGTGCACATAAGTGTTAACCCAGGGCCTGGCAGGATATTTACCCCAGAGGGAGTGTTCATTTCTACTTAAGAAAGTATTTTAACAATAATGTGAAGTGCCCTAGAATTCTCAGCGCAGGCACCTGGAGGAGGAAGAGAACAGAGAGAATCTTCTGCTCAGAGGGAGCCTTGTTTATGTGTGGGCTACCTTCTGTTGGGAACAGAATATCCCTGGACCCAATACTCCCCTCAGTTTGAGCACATTTTCTTCTTCCTCCCCAGCTGTGTGGTGGTGATCTTGGACCCCAAGGAGAACAAGCAGCAGCACATTTTTAATACTGCCAGGTAAGCTGGGGTCTGTGCATAGGAAGGGGTGGGACTGTGGAAATACTTGTGGTTGGATGACTCCCTCATTCACTCGCCCATCAGTTCAACAACATTCCACAAGTTTCTCCTCTGTGTTAGGTATTGTCCCAGGTGCTGGAGACACAGCAGTGAACAAAAGAGATGAGAATCTCTGCTCTCTGTAGAGCTGACCACTCAGGAGGGGAGACAGACCAAACCAAATGGCTAGGAAGCCCACTGTGACCACTGCTCTAGGGAAATGATGAGGGATGTGTTAGGGCAATTTATAGGAACAGAGTAAGGAAGAAGCCATATCAGAGGGCTCTGGAAATGCTTCCTTGAGGCTGACACCTGAAGGAAGTGAGGGGGTGAGCTATGTGGAGGTGAAGGGAGAATGTTTCAGGCAGAGGGAACAGCAAGGGCAGAAGCCTGGCAGTGGTTAAGAATCTCGGGTTGTTTGAGAAGCTGCTGAGGATCCATGTGCCTGGAATGGAGGGGTAGGTGAGGGGGCTAGGGGTGGAACAGGCGGAAGCCACATCACCTGGGCCCTGAGGAGGGGGTTGGATGCTGATTGCAAAGAGAAGCTACTGAAGGGTGTTTATAGACTAGGGATATACTTTCCACACCCCAAACTTCCAGCACCCTCAATCTCCCTGTCCTGTTTTACTTTTCTCCACAAAATGTACTCCTTTCTCATATGCTATCTAATTTCCTTACTGATGATACCCACTGTCTGTCTGCCTTCTAAAGAGTGAGCTCTCTGAAGGCAGGGATTTTCTCTTAGTGAATTTCTATGTCCCTTTCACCTAGAGCAGTATCTAGCACATTACTGAAACTTATTATTTCATGAATGAAGGAATGAATGTGATTTTGAAAGATCCCTCCAGCTGCCAATTTATTGGGGAAAGCCCTTAGCTCTGGGTAGGCCCAAGCTGGTGCCCAGGGGTCTGCCTTGGGGCAGACTGATCACCGTGTCATCTGGCAGATGACATGGAAATGGTCCACTCTCAACCACTGATAGGTCTGGCTTGGAGGTGGTGTGGCCAGAGTAGAGGTTTTCACCCTTGCTACATGTCAGAGGCATTCGACCCCTGGCCCTCACTCCCAGAGAAGCCTTAATCATTGGTCTGTAGTGAGGCCTGGATATTGGCAAACTAAAAGTTTTTATATTGAAATAATTTTAGACTTAAAAATAGTACAAAGAGTGTGTATACCTTTTACCCACATTTCCTAAATATTAACATTTTACCACATTTGCTTTATCATTCTCTGTCCATATACATAATAACTTTTTTTCTGAGTCATTTGAGAGTGAGTTGTAGAACGTGACATCCCTGTATCTCTCAATACTTTGGCTTATATTTCCGGGGGGGGAAATGATATGGTCCTTCAACTACAATACATTCAACAATATCAGGAAAATAAAATTGGTACATTACTACCATCTACTCCTTATTCAGATTTTACCTTTTGTCCCAAGAATGTCCTTTATAGCAAAAGGATTCTGTCAATCATGCATTAGGTGTCATTGTCTCTTCATTCTCCCTAAGCCTGAAGCAGTTTCTCCATCTTTTCTTGACTTTTGTGACCCTGACAGTTTTGAGGATTACAGGCCAGGTATTGCAGAATGTTCCAATAGTTGGGTTTGTGTGACATTTTCTCATACATAGATTCAGGGTCTGCATTTTTGGCAGAAACACGCAGAAGGGACGCTGCATTCTGCTCCCTTCTCACTGATAGATAGAGATAGTACATTCTACCAGGAAGTTCACGGTGCTGCTCGCTCTCATGACTGGTGGTGTTCATTCTGAGCCCCTGGTAAAGGTGGTGTCTGACAGGCTTCTCCACAGTGAATCCCTTTGTGATTAGTGAGTACCTTAGGGGGAGCTTCTCTGAAACCTTGCAGATATTACCCTGTTCCTCATCAAAATTTTACTTACTAGTCTTAGCATGGCTTTGAAATTTTTAAAAAGCTCCCCAGGGAATTCTGACATGCAGCCACGACTGAGAAGCTCTGGTCTAGAGTCCAGGGCTCTGCCCTGTCTGGTTAGGTAACCTTGGGGAGGGGACTTCCCTGTGTTGACGTCTCCTCATCTCAAAACTGGCTAATGAGAATCTTGGCTTCATTGAATGCATGCGAAGAATCAGTGTACTGATGCCCATAGAGCGTTTGATGGAGGGCAGGGCACAAGGTCAAGGCACATGACAGTCAGGTTAGGAGTATCTGCAGACAATAGAAACCCCACAACAAACATAGTTTAAACACAACTGCACGCTCTTCCTGCGCATAAGTCCAGAAGTGGGCACCCAGGGGCGTTGGTGTCACTGTGAGCCTTAGGGACCCCACTTCTGTCTTTCAGTCCCACCATGCTTATTGTGAGGCTTCTGTTCTTGAAGTTGCCACTTGACCGAAGATGGAGCTCTGGCTATCATGTCCTTTTTTCAGAAGGGGAACAGGTAGGGAGCAGGGCAGAATTATCTTTGAGAAGCTCTTTTGGAAATTGCACACAGCACCTCTCATTGGCCAGACTAAGTCATGTAGCTGTACCTGTGTAGCTACAAGAGAGGTGAAGAAATGTACTCTAGCTGGGGACATTACAATCCCAAGTCAAATTAGTATTCTGTCAGTGAGGAAGAAGGGATGAGTGCCTATTAGGTAGGCAGTTTGCCTTGTCTGCTTCTGTAGGAGCAATGAGAAGCCACTGGAGATTTGAGTTGATCATGATAAGTGTTCTATGAGATTGTCAAATAGCCATGGCTGGTGTGGCTCAGTGGACTGAGTGTTGGCCTGCAAACCAAAGAGACTGTGAAAGACTTACTCAGAGGCATGTATTTAGTTATCTGCACACAAGTTCACTCATGCGAAGGAAAGGATTAATAGATTGTTAAGGAACAGATGTGAAAACAGCATTAAAAGAAAGACAAGAGAGGGAAAAAAACAATGCAGTCTGGGAATGGTGAAACTTGCTGCCAAAACGCTTGTAAATTAGTCTGGGCATTCAGCTGTTGTTCAGGCTGTCTGGGAGTATCAGAGAAAAACATGTTGGTTGTTAAAAATGGGTTTTCCAAAACACCTTGAGCGATTAGCAGTGCAGCCCATGCTGCGGCTGTCTCAGTATGATGCCTACCACGGTCCTCCCTTCAGCACCACCTTCATAGTCAGGCCAGATCTGTGTCATTTCCTACATCTGAATTTCTTAGTGTTGTAGGGCTGCTGGGTCTGAGGAAGGCTGTAGAAGGAGAAGAAGGAGAGTCCCTGTTAAGAGGTGTCCCCCCTATTTGGGTTTGGAGTTTTAGGGTGGAAGGGACCTTTGCTTTTACAGAACCCCAGTTCCCTATGCTACTGCTCCCCTCTTCTAGCAGCAGGGAATGCAGGATTGCTCAGCACACAGGCAACATTGGTTCTATGGGAGCTGCTGGTGCTCACTTCTGGCCTCTTCCAGGCTTGGGAGTGGGGAGTGGGCAGAGTGCTGTGAGCACAGCCAGGCTAAGGTCTGGTAGCCCATCCTTTAGAGGAACCAGTGATCAACCCATTTCCTTGCCCTCAGGAAGTCTCTGAGTTCTCTGGCCTTCTCCCCTGATGGGAAGTACATAGTGACGGGGGAGGTGAGTTGTGATCATGATTGAGTAGGTGGGGAGGGGTTTTGGGGCCATTCATTCTGCCCTCACCAGGCCTGGAAAGTCCCTGGAATAACTCCTTCCTGGGCCAGAAAAGCCTTGTGGCAGATGGGGGAGGTGGCTTTTGGGTTCATCCTGGGGCAATGCCAACGTCAGCCCTGCCAGCCCCTCTCGCCCTGCCTGGCATAGAACTCAGCAACAGTAACAGCCCCACCTTCCCTAGAATGGGCACAGGCCTACTGTGCGAATCTGGGATGTGGATGAGAAGAGTCAGGTGGCGGAGATGTTGGGCCACAAGTGCGGCGTGGCCTGTGTGGCCTTCTCCCCTGATATGAAGCACATTGTATCCATGGGCTCCCAGCACGACATGGTACTCAACGTCTGGGACTGGAAGGTGAGCTGACTGGTGGGTGTATGGGCAGGAAGCCAGCTGCCAGAGCATCCTAAGTCTCAGGCATTGGAAAAACTAAATAAGATAACTTGGTAATGTGCTCATTCATCAAGCAAATATTTTTTGAGCACCTGATCCCTGTTTTAGGCACTTACTGAAGGGCATATGACAAGTTCTCAACTAGTGGAATGGGTAATTATTTTTACCTATTGTGATCTTCAACTTTTCTGTAATGATTCTTCCAGAAAGATGTTGTGGTGGCCTCCAACAAAGTATCATGCAGGGTCATCGCCCTCTCTTTCTCAGAGGACAGCAGCTATTTTGTCACAGTTGGTAACCGGCATGTGAGGTTCTGGTTCTTGGAAGTGTCCACTGAAGCAAAGGTAAGTTTTTGTCCCTGCCACCTCACCCAGGCCTGGAGAGTAACTATCAGGAGCAGGGTGGACTCCTCTTTCTACCTAAGAGATGGCGGCAGTGGTGTCAGAGACTGTCTGGCCTCTCAAGGCTCTGGCTTCTGCTTCTGGCCTGCTCTCCAGGTGCTGACTGGCAAGCCCTGCTAGGAAATCTCCGCATCTCATTCCCCTCCACCCCTGACCCTGGGGCCAGACCTTGTTCCTGGACTGCTGCCTTCTATTCATTCTGTCTGGAAGTGTGTTCCATTTTTTCTTCCCTCCTCCTCCACTTGGAGGATTTTCTTAGGTTCCTCCTGTTTAGTTGTATTGTTGCTGTGGTCATGAGAAACCCATCATGACATCGTTGGGGTTTAGGCTATATGGACATTGTCTCACTGTGTCCTGCTATGCTTGCAGGTGACAGGAACAGTGCCTCTTATAGGGCGCTCAGGTATCCTGGGTGAGCTGCACAACAATGTCTTCTGTGGTGTGGCTTGTGGCCGGGGCCAAACGGCAGGCAATACCTTCTGTGTGTCCTACTCGGGTCTCCTCTGCCAGTTCAATGAAAAGAGGGTACTGGAGAAGTGGATCAATCTGAAGGTACCCAACCTTTCTGCTATCAATGGGGGAAACACTGTTTCCATGGCATGGTCTCCTGGGATACGCAGCACTCTTTCTGCCTGGTAGTAATGCAGAAAGACTGCTTTAATCCTCTTGCTGGAACTCATGCAGCTTTTAAGCATGTCAGAGGCTTTTGACAGACAGATGCATAGCTCCTAGCAGTTATAAATTAAGCCTACAGATTTTGAAAAACTCCTCTAACCAGTGTCCAGAGTTCTGGCACATCTTGCCCCTCTATCTACATGTTATGGCAGGATAGACAGTCCTTTCTAAATACAGTAACTTTTTTCTGTGCTGCTTTGAAGTATAATCTCAGTGAAGTTGCTTTTAAGCAATAGGGAATAAAATTTAAGCCCAATTTTTAACCCTGTTACTACAAATGACCTATCTGAAGTCATGGTCTGCTGAATAGATATTTTCAACCCACAGCTGAACTCCTCTGTAGGCAGCAATGACAACTCTATCCTAATCTGTGCCTCTGTCTACCCGCTGGCATGTTTCCTTCAATAGTGACCTTACGCTGTATCTGATTTCAAAAACCTTAAAATTTACTAAGATGGGTTTCTTAGACCCAAGAAATTATGAGGCTTCTCTGGAGGCCCAAGGCTGCTGTTCTGTCAGTCCCTATGTCCCTGAATTAGGCCACATGAAGCACAAAGTCCATTTGGGTCCCTTTTTTCCCCACAGGTCTCTCTCTCATCCTGCCTCTGTGTCAGTCAGGAGCTCATCTTCTGCGGCTGCACAGATGGGATAGTTCGCATCTTCCAGGCCCACAGCCTACACTACCTTGCCAACCTGCCCAAGCCACACTACCTTGGTGTTGATGTGGCCCAGGGCCTGGAACCCAGGTACTGCCCAGCAGGGGGAGCGAGAGGGGACCACCCAGCATCTGTCTGCTGGTATGCATCCACGCTTCCAGATGCATCTACATATTGGCCAGCCCTAGGCAAGAAGCAGGATACAGCTATCCTGCAGGGTGCCTGAGGTGGCCTCTTTGTACATTGCTGAACACTGCCTCCTGAGTGCCTTTTCTAATAGCCTGGAAGGGGCTATTGGGTGTCTCAGAGGAAAGGGAGGGTGGGTCAGCAACCCACAGACAGTGGTTTGTTCTAGTAGATGACAGGCTGCCCAGCTCTGTCATCTTCTGCTTTGTGCTACATGGCCTCAGGCAAGCACTATCCACTTGTGCTTCAGTTTCTTCCTCTGTTAAATAGAGTACCTATCTCTCATGGACGTTGTGGGGATTCAGTGCAGAAAGCTCTTTGCTTGGCTCACAGTAGGTGCTCAGTAAACTGTAGCCTTTGTAGGGAGGTGCCAGGCCAGGGGACAACTCCCCTGCTCCCTTGCACAGAGAATTTTGGTCAGGTGTGGTAGAGCTCATGAGAGAGAAGGCCTGAGGTATATGCCCATTATCTTTCCATGTTCAGAGAGAGAGGACAGAGCTTGGGTTGGATGAAATGGGGAGAGAAAAATACTAACAGGAGTTGAAAATTCAAATACTCTTGGGGGCCAAATGGAAGCTTTCACTTTACAATCTCTGTATTAGAAACAAAGCAAAGGAAGTGGGAAGAGGGAAAAGTGGAGTTGGAGTGACAGAGATGGACCACCATGGCATTGACATGAGGCAACTCTAGTGTCACCACAGCCAGCTGTTACTACCCACAGTGACACAGATGGTGACTGATGATCCCTGTTGCTTTGTTAGCTTTCTCTTCTGCAGGAAGGCAGATGCAGTCTTCCCAGATACAGTGGCGCTGACCTTTGACCCCATCCACCAGTGGCTGTCCTGCGTGTATAAGGACCACAGCATCTATGTCTGGGATGTCAAAGACATCAACAAAGTAGGCAAGATGTGGTCGGAGCTCTTCCACAGCTCCTATGTCTGGAACGTGGAGGTGAGCCTGTCTCTTCCTCCCCTGCCCTTGCTCAGCCCCCATTTGGAGAAAGCTTCTGGAGAGTTTGGGGAAACCATTAAGCCATTCCTTCAAAATTGACTCCAGCTATGTGCCAGGTGCTGTTCCTAGGTGCAGTGGACACAACTAGTAAGGAAACTGACAAAAGCCCTTCCATCGTGTAGCTCACATTTAGGTGGGAAGGTAAGCCCATAAACAATAAATGTAAAACATAAAAAGCAAGCAGTACCTCTCTCAGAAGAAAAATGAAGCAGAGTAGGGGAAAGGGGCCCAAGGGTGCTTGCTGTTTTAGAGAGGAGAGTGGTCAACAAAGGCCTCTATAAGGACGTGACTTGTAAGCAGAGACCTGCAAGAAGCCAGGGGGTGAGAGGCACATGACTTATTGGGAGGACGGCAAGAGCAAAGGACCTGTAGCAGGAGACTGTGTACCTCAGAGAGCATTCTGTGGAGGCCATTTTTGGCGTTTAGTGCTTTTTTATGTAAGTGCTGAAGTTGTTTTTATTTTCTGAGAATGAATCTGTGGGGATTTTTTACTCTCTAAAGCTGTTCTAAGTACTCCTTGCAGATTAGACGACTGGTGGAGAAAGAATTGTATTCTACTTTTTTTTTTTCCTGAAAGTTCCTTTCTACAAGGAATGTTTGTCCTAGAGAATTTGTTTTCAGTGTCCCAATTTAGAATTGGGAAAAACAACTTAAAAAAAAAAAGATTTTATTTATTTATTTTTAGAGAGGTGAAGCGAGGGAGAGAGGGAGAGAAACATCAATTGGTTGCTTCTATAAGCGCCCTGACTGGGGATTGAACGCACAATCCAGGCATGTGCCCTGACCTGGGGATCCAACCAGCAACCTTTTGCTTTGTGGGATGCCGTCCAACCAACTGAGCCACACCATTTAGAGCAGAATAGGGAAAAATAACTTAATCCTTTTGATGGCTTGAATCTATCTGCTTTCTTGGATTTTTTTGCTTTTGTTGATGGCACTTTTGTTGATAGCACTTTTGTCACTTAACAAGAATGTTTTTAAAATAAAAATTTATATATAAATATATTCTCCTTGAAATATTACAAATAATGCTGAAGTCTCTTTGACCACCTCCCTGCCCCCCAGCCCTGCTCTCTCTCATCCTTACCCTTGTCAGTTTTTTGTGTTTTCTTCAGTTCATTTTCTTTGTAGCTATCTGTTACTTATTTATATAATTTTATTATATAATTCTGTATATAATTATATATATAGCCAACAAAAATATCTGTGGGTAGGTCTTTTTAGGATCTTTTTATCAATTCTGGAAAAATTCTCAGCCAGTACAGATTTAAGAATTGCCTCTGCTCCCTTCTCTCTTGTTTTCTGTAATTCTTATGTCCTTTTTCTATCCTTTATTTTTATTTTATTTTTAAATTTTATATCTTTCTAAAAGATTTTACTTACTTATTTTTAGAGAGGGGAGAAGGGAGGGAAAAAGAAAGGGAGATAAACATTGATGCGAGAGAGAAATATCAATCTGTTGCCCCTTGTACACGCCCCGACTGGGGACTATACCCGCAACCCAGGCACGTGCCCTAACCAGGAATTGAACTGACGGCCTCTTGCTTTGTGCTATTATATCCAATCAACTGAGCCACATAAGTCAGGGCCTATCCTTTATTTTTAAAGATAAAACAGAGATTTTAAAAAACCACACAAAGGAAAAAAAAAAAGGTACTGTTGTCAGCAGCTGTTGTCCAATGCCTAGATCCATTTATTCATTGGGGGTTTCGATATGGTGATATTCTAATTATCATTTTTTTTTAAATTAATTGGACCACTTATATGAAGAGACTCTTCCCCTCATCTACCATTTGGGCACACCCATTGGTCCACTTCATATAGGAGAGGCAGGATAAATGCTTGATTCTTTCCCTTTATATACCAGTTTTCAAGATAATAAATTGGTTCCCTGTCCTCTAAAGGTAACTAGTTTTTATTTAATATCATCATAATCTAATATATTAGATATATTTTAATCCATTGCAATTATTAACATTATTGGAGGTCCAATTGTCCTACCTTTGGCCAGTGGGAGCCTCTTCAACTTAGCTCCTGAGTCCTGTGGACATGACCCTAATAATCTTTGATAGGTACCTTGCTACCTGAGATGACCAGATGTTCCAGCCTCATCTTGTACATTTCCTGTCCCAGTCCTGGAATCAGCTATTTTTTTTTAAATAAAGATTTTATTTACTTGTAGAGAGAGAGGAAGGGAGGGAAAAGAAAGGGAGATGAACATCAATGTGTGAGTGCCTCTTGCGCACCGCCCACTGGGGTCCCTGCCCACAACCCAGGCATGTGCCCTGACTGTGGTTTGCAGGCCTACACTCAATCCACCAAGCCACACCAGCCAGGACAGCCATTTCTTGAAGGAGCCCTTGGGTTTTGTTGTTTGTGTATGTGCAGTCCGAATTGGTATTTCAAAATCACAGTCTGGGTGCTGGCAATGGTCATAGCTATTGGATTAATCCTTCCAGAATTCTAGGTCTTAAAGACATAGAGGATGATGGAATTAGAATATCCCCAGTGAATCATTTACTTAGTCTCACATTATATATACAACAGTCTGAGAATGAAAATTATTCAATTTTAGAAATAGTTAAAACGGGATTTTTTTGCATACAACCTCTCCATTCTCCCCCAATTTTTAAAAGAATTATACTCTATCTATGTGATATGATCATGTAGCTATTATTTACTATATTCTCTCCCTTTTGACCCTATTTATTTGGCGGGGGTACACATGTACATATATATCATGGTAAAATACACAACATAAAATTTACCATTTAAGTCATTTTAAAATGTATAATTCAGTGGCATTTAGTACATTCACAGTATTGTGCAATAATCTCTACTACCTACTTTTGGAACATTTTCTTCACCCCAAAAAGAAATTCTACTCATTAAACAATCACTCCCATTCTCATTCCTCCAGTCCCTCGTAACAACTAATTTGCTTTCTGTCACTATGGATTTGCTTTTCCAAATAATTCATATAAATGGAATCATAGAATATGTGGACTTTGTGTCTGGCTTCTTTCACCTGACGTCATGTTTTCAAGGTTCATCCATGTTATAGCATGTTTCAGTACTTCATTCCTTTATAAGGTTGAATAATATCCCATTGTATGGCTATAACACATTTTGTTTTCCGTTCATCATTTAATGGACATTTGAGTTGTTTCCACCTTTTGGCTTTTGAGAATAGTGCTGATATGAACAATTCACGTGCAAGCTTTGAATATCTGTTTTCAGTTCTTTTGAGTATATTCCCAAGAACAGAATTGCTAGGTCATAAGATGATTCTATGTTTATGAGGAACCACCAAACTTTTCCACAGTAGCTGTACCATTTTACATTCCTACCAGGAATGTCTGAGGGTTCCATCTTCTTCACATCCTTACCAACACTAATTATTTTTATGTTTGGTATTTTTAAAGTTATAGATGTCTTAGTGTTTGTGAAGTGGTACCATATTGTGGCTTTGACTTGCATTTTCCTAATGATTAATGACATTGAGCATCTCTTTATGTGCTTGTTCATCATTTGTATGTCTTTGGAGAAATGTCTTTGTAAGTCTTTTGCGCATATTTTACTTGGGTTGTTTGTCTTTTTGCTCTTGGGTGACTAGAGTTCTTTATATGTTCTGGATACTAGACCCTTAGCAGATATATGATTTACAAGTATTTTCTCCCATTATTTATGTTGTCTTTTAATTTTCTTGATGGTGTTCTTTGATCTACAAAGGTCTTAATTTTGGTGAAGTCCAACATACCTATTTTTTCTTTTATTCCTTGTACTTTTGATCTCATATCTAAAAAGCCATTACCAAATCCAGTCATGAAGATGTACCCCCATGATTTCTTCTAAGGTTTTTATTGTTTTAGCTCTTCGATTTAGATGTAGATACCCTTTTTTAAAGTATATTTTATTATGTTATTACAGTTGTCCCATTTTTTCTCCCTTTTATCTCCCTCTGCCCTGCAACGCCCCCCTTAGTTCATGTCCATGGGTTGTATACATGTAAGTTCTTTGGCTTCTCCATTTCCTGTACTATTCTTCATGTCCCCCTGTCTATTTTCTACCTACCAATTATGTTTCTTATTCCTTGTACTTTTTCTCTCATTCTCCCCTCTCCCGCTCCCCACTGATAACCCTCCATGTGATCTCCATTTCTGTGACTCTGTTCCTATTCTAATTGTTTGCTTAGTTTGTTTTTGGTTCTGGTTTTGTTTTTTAGGTTCAGTTGTTGATAGTTGTGAGTGCATTGTCATTTTCCTGTTCATAGTTCTGATCTTCTTTTACTTAGGAAAGTCCCTTTAACATTTCATATAACAACGGCTTGGTGATGATGAGCTCCTTTAACTTGACCTTATCTGGGAAGCACCTTATCTGCCCTTCCATTCTAAATGATAGCTTTGCAGGATAGAATAATCTTGGATGTAGGTCCTTACCTTTCATGACTTTGAATACTTCTTTCCAGCATCTTCTTGCTTGTAAGGTTTCTTTTGAGAAATCTGGGGACAGTCTAATGGGAACTCCTTTGTGGGTAACTATCTACTTTTCTCTTGCTGCTTTTAAGATTCTCTATCTTTAACTTTTGGCATTTTACTTATGACGTGTCTTGGTGTGGTCTTCTTTGGGTCCATCTTGTCTGGGACTCTCTGTGTTTCCTAGATTTGTATGTCTATTTCCTTCACCAATTAGAGAAGTTTTCTTTCATTATTTTTTCAAATATGTTTTCAATTTCTTGCTCTTCCCTTTGTCCTTCTGGCACCCCTATGATTTGGATGTTGGTACGTTTAGAGATGTCCCAGAGTCTCCTTAGCCTATCCTTGTTTTTCTGATTTCTTTTTTTTTCTTCCTGTTACGATTGATTTTTTTTTCTTCCTTATGTTCCAAATTGTTGATTTAATTCTTGGCTTCATCTCCTCCACTGTTGGTTCCCTGTATAT